CCGATATCCCGCTCTCGATCAAACCATGAACCAGATTTTCTTCCTTCAAAAATACCACTACGGCCTTGTTCATCCGAGACGCCGAAATGATATTCTCATGGCCCACGCGCTCTGCCACGTCCAGTAACACATCCTCTACAGGCACACCTGCCTGGGTCACACACCTAATCCCATGCCGGAGCGACAGGCCTGACGCCTGCACACTCGCGTGAGTGTGAGACGCCATCCCTACCTCCGACACGAGACAACTCTCGCGGAAAACAAACTCAGTTTTTTTTTTTTTTTTTTTTTTTATTAAAACTTTTTTTCCTTTTTCAATTAAAATAATCGAATACAAGAAAAAAGCAAGAAATAGTGAAAAATTGAAAAGTTCCTCTCACCTAGATCACCCTCCCATGCATTCCCTTCCCAATTCCCAGCATGCACCAGAGAGAGAGAGAGAGAGAGAGAGAGAGAGAGAGAGAGAGAGAGAGAGAGAGAGAGAGAGAGAGAGAGAGAGAGAGAGAGAGAGAGAGAGAGAGAGAGAGGAGGTCACTTCTCCTAAGTGGACTAAAGTTCTTCTGATTGTTCTGGGTTTCTCTCTTGTGTTTGCTCTCGGAGGTCTCTGCGCTCTCGGGGTGATTTGTGAGTATAACTGATACTAGATCTCTGCTCTGTTCAGGGTGCATTCGGGTTGCACTCTGTTCAGGGTGCATTTACTTTATATTGTGGAGCAGAAAAATCTGCAATAGAATTATATTATTTTTCAAAATCATACTTTCTCTGACAAAGCTGTTTTAAGTCAAGTCAAGTCACATATATTTATATGGCGCTTTTCACAATACAGATTGTATCAAAGCTGCTTCACAGTATCAATCAAAACAACCTAAGAGTGTTTGTTTATTACTGGAAAAAAGACATCCAAGTTTGGTAGAGCTAGTCAATGGTATGATGGGTCATTTAATTTGAAAATCCCCAAACTGAGCAAGCCAAAGGCAACAGTGGCAAGGAACCGAATAACCAACGCATAATAACTCCGTCAAGTGACCTGATGGTGTCCTAAAACTCCATCAGATGACCCGACGGAGAAAAAAAACCTTGGGAGAACCCAGGCTCAGTGGTGGCCAGTTCTCCCCTGGCGTTTATGAAGTAGAGGCCGAATATTCAGTAACTGTAAGATAAAAAATTTATATGAATGCCTGACTAAAAAGATGCATCTTTAGTCTAGTTTTACACTGGGAGAGCGAGTCTGAGCAACGAACAATATCAGGAAGGCTATTCCAGAGTTTTGGAGCTAAATGTGAAAATGCTCTCCCTCCTTTGGTGGATCTGGATATCCTAGGAATGACCAGAAGCCTCGAATTTAGTGATCTTAGAGAGCGCGATGGATTATAGGGCGATAGAAGATCCGTTAAATAGACTGGAGCTAAACCATTTAAAGCGTTATAGGTCAAAAGCAATACCTTGTAATTAATACGGAACTTTATAGGTAACCAATGAAGTGACGATAAAATCGGTGTTATATGATCATATTTTCTTGATCTAGTAAGAACTCTAGCGGCTGCATTTTGGACTAACTGTAGCTTATTTATTGAAGATGCAGGACAACCAGCTAATAAAGCATTACAGTAATCTAGTCTCGAGGTCATGAATGCATGAACTAACTTTTCTGCATCAAGACTGATAGCATATTACGTAGCTTAGCAATGTTTCTAAGGTGGAAAAAGGCTGTTTTTGTAACATATGAAATATGCTTTTCAAAAGACAGGTTGCAGCCTAATGTAACACCCAGGTCTTTTACTGTAGCGGATAAAGTAACAGGGCATCCTAATATGTTAAAGTCGTGCTGTGAAAGGTTTTGTGGACAGTTTTTAGAACCGATAAGTATTACCTCTGTCTTGTCTGGATTTAATAAAAGAAAATTACGCGTCATCCAATCTTTTATATCTTTAACACACTCTGTCAATTTGGATAATTTAGCGTATTCATCTGGCCGTGATGAAATATATATTTGAGTGTTATCAGCATAACAATGGAAACTAATTCCATGTTTCCTTAGAATATTACCAAGTGGCAGCATATATATTGAGAATAATAAAGGGCCTAACACAGATCCCTGCGGCACTCCATAGTTTGCCGAAGTTACGATTGATTTTTCTCCATTTAAGTAGACGAAATGGTAGCGTTCAGATAAATATGATCTGAACCACACTGTAAAAAAATTCCGTAAAAATACGGTAGAATGAACCATATAAATTTGAAGGATTTTTCCGTATTTGTCTTTTACAGGTCATTTACCCGTATTTTGAATTACGCGTTGCATTGTGGGAACAAGAACCTGGCGCCGCGAAAAGTGAAAAGACGCAACCGCCATTACACACGCAGATGACCGCGGCCAAAGTTGCTTATTAAAGTCGGATTTCGGGTGTGTGGAAGCCATTCTGACACTTCTGTGGTAAAATACGAAATTTATGTTTTGCTAAATGTCAAATAAGCTGTTAACGTAACGTTATTTAGTTGCCACCTGGCATGTTAGGCAAATGAATGCCGGAGCCGTCGCGTTTATCATTTTATGCATAGCTGCTATCGTCACACATTCAAAGATTTAGTTTACACTCGTGGAGGTTCCCTGATATATGTGTTATATTGTGCCCTCGTTGTAATTTGGTTTATTTACTTTTATTTGTCGGTAATGCGGTTTATTTCTTGACGAGCGCATCCGTTAACCAGCTGTGATAAAATGCAGTAACGTTACTAACGTTAGTTTTTTTCGGAGCAATTTAATGCCTTCAAACAAAAGCTACCAGAGGAATCGTCAAGAAAAGTAAAGGCCATTAAGACTTGCTTGATTTAAAAGGCATGAAGATACAACGTGAAGATACTGTGTGTGAAGATTCAGTAACTGTACAGCTGGATCATGGAAAACACCACCAGTTTTTCTGCCAAATGAGGTAAGTTAACGTTGTTTGCGTTAGACTTGTTTTTGTTTTAGACGACACACACGACTTTAAACCCCAAATAATGACCATGAAATATTAATTTACATTTTACATGACTGCTGTACTCTTCTGCCTGTAACGTTAGTCATTCTTTAACGTTACCATATCCCTCCTCAGTTTGTTTCATTCATAGTTTTTCTGTTGTTTTCTTATCTATTGACAGGACATTGCTGTTGTAGTTTGCATACCAAGCACCACCTGCATGCTGCTTATGGGTTTGTATTTTGTTTTATTACCTTTTTTTATTATTAATTACTACGAGTGTTCAATACGGGCAACACATTTAAATTTAAAGTCTGAGGAAAAGTGTTGATAGAAAAAGTTGGTTGCTGAATACCCCCTTCAAAGATGTGTATGCTTAGATGGTCAGTAGAAATACAAATTGTATAGGGAAAATTTAAACAACTATGTTTAAAGGGATAGTTCACTTTAAAATGAAAATTCTGTCATCATTTACTCACCCTCAAGTTGTTTCAAACCTGTATGAGTTTCTTTCTTCTGCTGAACACAAAGATATTTTGAAGAATGTTGTTAACCAAACCATTAACTGGAGCCATTGACTCCCATAGTATTTTTTTTCCTACTATGGAAGTCAATGGCTCCAGTTAACTGTTTGGTTACTGACATTCTTCAAAATATCTTCCTTTGTGTTCAGCAGAAGAAAGAAATTCATACAGGTTTGAAACAACTTGAGGGTGAGGAAATGATGACAGAATTTCCATTTTAAAGTGAACTACCCCTTTAAAGCAGTTTTCTGAAGTGATTGTGTAATGTAATATCTTTATTAATGTAATACCATTTTGTAATATCTTTTTTGTTTAAGGTGGTGGACATTCGGGATTGCTGTCATTCAAGAAGTTATTATTGACCACATCTCTACCCCATTAAGGCAGTGAGCTTCAAAATACCTGAAGAAAATGGCACTTTTCCTGGAGTTCATATAAAGGTAAGCAACACATTTTTAATTAAATGATTTATAGATTGTTATTGTGTTTCTGTTTAATTAGTTGAAAATAATTAAACATATTATAATGTATAGTTGAGCAGACAAGCTAACATGACATGCAATTGGAGTCCACTGGAAACAAAAGTCTTCGCATTTTATGGCGCTTTTCCACTGCATGGAACGGTTCGGTACGGCACGGCACGCTTTGGCGCTTTTCCACTGCATGGTTCGGTACGGCTCACTTATGGCACATTTCCACTGCATGGTACGGTACGGTACGGCTCGCTTCGGCTCGCTTTAAATGGTACCTGGTCTGTTGAGGTTCCAAGCGTACCGTACCGATACTAAAATGTGACGTGAAACACTACAGATCACTGATTGGTCAGACAGACAGAATCGTCACTATCAGCGTCATTGTATTTGCGACACGAGACACTAAACCCACTAGATTTAAATAGCCAGTAGACAACAGCCACGCTGTAGCACCTGTTTTAAAACTACTTGCTTGACTTGCTTGAAGAAAAAAGAAAGAAAGAAAACTTCCATAAAAAAGAAATGGCTGAATCGTGGTCAGTGGACGAAGTGCAGACGTTCGTCTCGTTGGTTGCCGAGGAGCGGATAAACTATAACGGTCCGACTATAATCCCACCCACTTTGAAGCGGTACTATCTGAAGTGGAAAAGCAAACCGAGCTAAAGCGAACCGAGCCGTGCCGTGCTGAGCCGAGTCGTACCAAGCAGTGGAAAAGCAAACCGAGCTAAAGCGAACCGAGCCGTGCCGTGCTGAGCCGAGTCGTACCAAGCAGTGGAAAAGCGAAGCGAGCCGAACCGTACTGAGCCGTACCGAGCCGTACCAGCAGTGGAAAAGCGCCATTATATACAGTGTTTGAATTTGAAGAATTAGGGATGGCTGATTATTTTTAGTTGATAATTTAACGAACGTAAAATACTGTACAATTGTTTTTCAACCTCAACCTGGTCTGCATGATATTTTGTAGTTAATTTTCCTTCATTTAATTTCTTGTGTAGCTAAAATATATCTTTTTTTTTCTTCATATCCAACTTTTCTGTGCTGCAATCCTGAACGAAGGTCGAAAAGACTGAGATGAAGGAAACCAAACGTATACACATTCCTCCAAGACTGCTGAAGTTCCTGTATGAACAACTTTGAAAAACAATGTAAAGTATTAGCTTTTGTCAAATCTCAAAATGAGACTTTAACTGAACATACCGATCACTTCTTCATCTAGGTGATAGACGGGGATCGGCACTTCCTCATCAAACAGATCCAGTATAATCTACCTGATGAACATCTACGTCCAGCCCTGAACCATCTACCTGTGTCGGCACGGAGAGAACAACGACAACCTGGAGGGACAGCTGGGCCGTGATGCAGGCCTCTCGCCGCGAGACAGACAGGTACGGTTAACCGCAGACAGAACCATTACAGTACACGGTAACTAAATTTGAAACATCATGATGGTTTGGCCACATACTGTTCCCTCCCCTCTGTAGTTTTTGGTGGCTAAACCCGAGTCTGCAGTCCTACCAGGACCTGGTCCAATCAGTCCGGTGGCTCTGAAGAATTTACTACACATTTCTTGGTGAGTGAGTTTTTCCCACCTAGAATCTTTTTTTTTGACACATTCTGTAATAGTAATAGTGTTTTGTATTTCTTTTACAGCCTTCATCTTACCTGAAGACAAGAGTACCCCCCCCCCCCCATCCATGTTCCTCTGAAAAACCTTTTCCCCCTCACACATTTTAAAATTTATTCAGTGGATGCAATTGTTGTAATGTTAACAAAGAGTGTCATGAATTAGCAGACTTGAAACAATTTAGAGATGAGAAACTATATATACTTTTTGTGGTTTTTTTTTCCTTTATATTTTAGTTTTCATGGAATTGTTGTCGATCTATAAGTAAATAAAAATATTTTTTAATCACAGAAGATTTGTTTGAAATGTTTTCAACAAGAGTTATCATTACACTGTTAACTAACAGAAAGGTAAAAATTCTATTTGCTGTAGGTATATTGCCTAAATTCATCTGTTTTATTTTTACTGTAGGAAATCCATTTTAGGTTTGATGGAAGTGTCCGTAAATGGTAAAGAAAGTCAGGTAAATCTACGGAAATATCTGTTATAGGGTTTACGGAATTGTCCGTACAATAACGCAAAAATTTACGGAAAAAACGGAATTTTCCATTTTAGGTTTGACGGAAATGTCCGTCAATGGTACAGAAAAACTCATATAAATCTACGGAAATATCCGTTTTAAGGTTTACGGAAGTGCCCGTACAATAACGGAAAAAGTGCTGGTAATTAATTACCAGCACTTTTTCCGTTTTTTAACAGAACTTTTTTTAACAGTGCAGCTTAATGCTTGTCCTTGAACACCAGTGTAATTTTGTAGTCGATCTAAGAGTATTGTGTGATCTATAGTGTCGAACGCAGCGCTAAGATCGAGTAAAACTAGTACTGAGATACAGCCTTGGTCAGAAGCTAAAAGTAAATCATTTATGATTCTAGCAAGTGCAGTTTCAGTGCTATGATGTGGCCTGAATCCAGACTGAAACTTTTCATAGATGTCGTTTTCTTGCAAGAAAGAGCCGAGTTGAGCGAACACAACTTTTTCTAATATTTTAGACATAAATGTAAGATTTGAAATGGGTCTGTAGTTTGCTAGGTTATTTGGGTCTAATTGTGGTTTCTTAATAAGAGGTTTTATAACTGCCAGCTTGAATGTTCTTGGAACATGACCTAAAGATAAAGACGAGTCAATGATATTGAGAAGAGGTTCTTCCACTATAGGTAACACTACTTTCAATAGTTTAGTTGGTATAGGATCTAATAAGCATGTTGTTGTTTTAGATGAAGCGATAAGTTTATTTAACTCTTTTTGTTCTATGGTCGTAAAGCATTGTAATTGTTCTCGCGGGGTTAAAATTGCGGCTGAATTATAAGGCGCGAGCAAAGATTGAGCGTTTACGATTGTGGTTCTGATGCTTTCAATTTTCTCGGTGAAGAAGTTCATGAATTCATTACTACTAAACTGTAAAGAGGTATTTTGTTCAGGCGACGTCTGTTTATTTGTTAGTCTAGCCACGGTATTAAATAAAAACCTTGGATTATTTCGGTTGTTTTCTAATAGTTTGCGGAGATGCTCAGCCCTGGCCGTTTTAAGGGCCTTTTTATAACGTGACATACTGTCTTTCCACTGTAAGACTGGGAAACTGGTTGAAGATGGAAATTAATATTTGGCCTTGTAAGAACTGGTTGGAGACACTGTCTTGACCACATGGTCTATTGAAACAAAGGAACTTGCTGAAATAGCATTCGACCTCCCCCTCACGCAGTCTCACCTGATTTACATTTCACCCAGTAACAGCTAAAACTCACATAAGAATATATATATGGTTTAATGTGAATGATTATCATTGAGTATTGTGTTTAGTATCATTTAAACTGTCGCAGGGTAAGTGATACATATGTCTCATTTCCAAATAAGTAAAACAAAGGTAATAAGGTTTTTAAGAGTTTTTAGATAACATACACACAAAGGAGGGTGGATGGGTAAACCCTCCTGCTCTCAGAAGGTGTGAACTCAATGCTAATTTCCACTGTTAGCAAATGGTAACATGTAAATCAACTTCTGCCCCCAGTAAGTCTGGGGGGGTGACTAAATTTCCACTGTGAACACAGGTTTACATATGAAATGAGTTCTGGGTATATAAGCAAATGCAGCTAGAAGTCGTGGCTTTTTCTGTATTTCAGATAGCCCGTGAGGTTTAGCTCATGTAGTTCATGTTGGGTTTGCATCTATTTCTCTAATCCTAAAACATTTGATGATTTGCATTGATTATCTTTCAATTGATTATGGAATTGTTAAAATACATTTACCTGACATAATAAATTGTTATATTTGATTATTCTAACAGACTTTGACTTTATTTTCATTGGAGTTAAAAGGAATAGTCAAACATTAACGTATATTTAATGATGCACAGATATCATTAAAACACTTTCATTCTATGGAGTCAGATGAAACGAGTTAATACATAAGATAAAAAGTATATTATATTTAATTAAAAAATCCTTTTGCCATTGGAAGAGACGGAACGCGCGTTGAGACCTTCACCGCTAATTTGAATGCCGCCCTTGGATCGAATTAGCAGGACTTACACCACGCAAATCTAAAGACCTCTAAATTAGTTTTTTTCCATTTACGCTCTAAATTACGGGTCTCTCTCTTTAAAACATACGTAGTATTATTGTACCATGGTGCTATACTTTTTTCTCTGACCTTTTTCAATCTAATGGGTGCAACAGTATCCAATGTTCTAGAGAGAGTGGAGCTCATAGTGCTAGTTAATTCGTCTAATTCATCTGTTTGTTTGGGTTCGGGCAGCAGCTGAGTCAGATCAGATAAGCTATTTGAGAAATGATCTACGGTGGATGGAAGGATTGTTCTGCCTGGTCGATAACGCGGCGCAGCATGACATATTATAGGAGTGCGTAATATACAAGTTACCATGTAGTGGTCAGTGACATCATCACTTTGTGGAATGATATCTATATCGGTTGGATCGGTTCCGTATGATATAATTAAATCGAGTATATGATTAAGACGATGAGTTGGTCCGGTGACGTTTTGCTTGACTCCGAAGGAGTTTAATAAATCTGTGAACGCAGCCCCTAACGCATCATTTGAATTATCTACGTGTATGTGAAAATCTCCAACAATTAATGCTTTATCGACCTTGACCAATAGATCTGATAGAACGTCTGCAAACTCTTTTAGGAAATCGGTGTAAGGCCCTGGAGGTCTATTTACGGTAGCCAATGCTAGAGATAATAGGGATTTTTTTCTTACATCTATGAGCGTAACATTTAACACAAGTACTTCAAATGAATTAAACCTGTGACGAGTTTTCTGAGTAACATTAAGGATATCTCTATAGATTGTTGCAACACCGCCGCCACGACCGATCAGACGGGGCTCATGCTTATAACAGTATCCTGGTGGAGTAGACTCATTTAGACCGAAATAATCATTTGGTTTAAGCCAGGTTTCAGTAAGACACAGAACATCGAAATTATTATCTGTGACCATTTCATTTACAATAACCGCCTTAGGTGTGAGCGATCTAATGTTTAGAAGACCTAGCTTTAGGAATTGTTTTTGTTCATAACTCACCAGCACAAAGGGAGAGCGGTTCTTTAACTCTGGTGTAATTGGTTTTAAGTTCCTCTAGTTCTCTCATAACTTGAAGAAAATGGGAAGAATAAAGTTAGTTTTAAGCTGCAGATTAAGAAATCATTCTTGAACACTATATTTATTTTCTTTGGTCATCAAGCTGTGCATCATTGTATTGTGAGATATTTAAGTCCCATGAAAATGTTAGCCTTCTTGTTTTTTCTTTAATTCAGATGGCAATACGCTTGCCGATTTAAAATCAGCTCAAGAGATGAACAGCACAAGTGAGAAAGTGTTAATATTTCATAAACATTACTGCACAAACATGTTTCAGTAACAGTATAGTGTTGTTCACTGAACTGTCCATGTGAGTAACTTTATTCTTCCCATTTTCTTCAAGTTATGAGAGAACTAGAGGAACTTAAAACCAATTACACCAGAGTTAAAGAACCGCTCTCCCTTTGTGCTGGTGAGTTGGCTTGTGTTTGGCATTTTTTATAACATTGTTTTGTTGATTCAGCATCACATTTTGTCTAAACTAGTGTATGCAAACTGACAAAAGTTACAATAACAGTTCATCAAACTCATTCTCTATTGCTGCTGCACAGAACATTTGTCTCTCTCCTTTACTTTTTAAAGTGCAAGGAAAGCACAATGAACTATAGTTTGATTAGCTTCAAGACACTTATGATATAAATAATGAAATGTTTAATTGTCTTTTTTAATTCATTCCTCACAGCTCAGTCTTGTGATTTCTCTGTGAATGGCCGGTTAGCTTGTCGTGGAAAGCTGTATTTATTCAGCTCTGATGAACTGAAGTGGTCGAGCAGTCGAGATGTCTGTGTTTCAAAAGGAGCCGATCTGGTGACCATAACCAGCCAATCAGAACAGGCAAGTCAGATCAACTATTATATAATTGATATTAGATGTAAGCAAAATTAACACAAAGATTACACAGCAATGCATCTTGAACCCTGCAAAATGCTTAAAGGGATAGTTCACCCAAAAATGTAAATTAGCCCATGATTTACTCACCCTGAAGCCATGGTGTATATGACATTCTTCTTTCAGACGAATACAATCAGAGTTATATTAAAAATGTCCTGGCTCAAGCTTCATAATGGCAGTGAATGGCTGTATATCTTTGGAAGTTCATTAAAGCGCATCTATTCATTGTTAAAGTGCTCCACGCGTCTACGAGGGTTAATAAAGGTCTTCTGAAGTGAAGCGATGCGTTCATGTAAGAAAAATATCCATATTTAAAACTTTATCGACTAAAATAACGCTTCCGACAGACGGCCGTATGCATCGATTTAGGCCAAAAGAGTAACACTTGAACTTGAACACTTGAACAACATAATGATGGCAATTGATTCTCACGTTTCAAACAAACAGGGCTGGGCAACCGCGTTCGTCATTACGCTGTCCGCCAAGTTCAGTTGTGCATCACTTCAGAAGGCCTTTATTAAGCCCCGGAGACGCGTGGAGCACTTTAATCATGAATAGATGCGCTTTAATGGACTTCCAAAGTCAAACAGTCATTCACTGCCATTATTAGGCTTAGGACGTTTTTAATATAACTCCGATTG